CGAACAAGTTCTAAGTGCTGTTCTTCCGAATCTACATTCAGACGTAAATTCGTATTTTCGTACATTACAGTTTACGTTTACGTTTGATTCTGCAGAACTGTCTTCCGTGCTTTTACGAACGAGATTCTTTGCAGTTTACACTTACATTTTGATCCTAGTGTTAACTGCAAACTGTCCTCTGCAATTTTACGAACGAGTTTCAACATTTAGACGTAAAACTGCATTTAGACGTAAATCGGCTTTCCTCGCACAATCATCAGATCTCAGTTCACGTTTACGTCTTGATTTCAACTGCATACTGCCTTCTGCGAGTATACAAACGAGTTTCAAAGTTCAGACGCAAATCTGCGTTTAAGATGTAAATATGCGTTTAGACGTAAATCTGCGTCTAGACGTAAATCTGCGTTTAGACGTAAATCTGTTTCTTTTTGCAGATTACTTTTTGAGCTGTACAACAAGCAGCACACTGTCTTTATACTTCTAAACTGCTCCTAGACGCAAACTGTGTTTAGACGCAATCTGCGCTTAGACGCAATCTGCGTTTAGACGCAATCTACGCTTAGACGCAATCTGCGCTAAGACGCAAACTGCGCTTAGACGCAATCTGAGTTTAGACGCAATCTGCATTTAGACGCAAACTACGTTTAGACGCTAACTGTGTTTAAACGTAAACTGCACTTAATCATAAGTAATCTTAGAATCGGTTTTTGCATCAAAATAGTCTTTATCGAACGAACGCAGCTTTCATTTTTTTAATCGCTGAAAAATATCCGCTGCACTAATTCACCCCCCCCCCCCCCCCTTAGTGCTCTCGATCCTAACAAGTTGATCATATATATAGAAACTATGGTATTACTATTGAAAGTCACGATTTGCTAGTAGATCTTAATTTCAAGATTTCGATGCTATCTTGGGTATGGAGTAGCTTTCAGCATACCATGCAAGTGTCGATTGTTTTCGGAATACTATTACTTTCTTACCCCTAGATCAACCATCTTTCAAGTTCACTTAGATTCAAGAAAAGTTCCCTTCTATTATTTCAGCCTTAAGTGCTACCCAACTATTGCTGAAAGGATGTCAGGAGTACTTGACCTTCATTTCTGGAGAAGAATCTAAGAAGCCAATATTAAAGAGCATCCCCATTGTACGGGATTTTCTGTAACACACCTGATTAGTCCCACATCGAAAGTGGGCAAGATTAAGATTGACTTATAAGGGTCTGATGAGTGTATTATTATTAATTTCAATTTAAGGATTATGGTCAGTGGTTTAGACTAAACGAAGTTGATATGTCAGTTAACCTATCAAGCTCGGGTCATGAAATTTGCATTGCCACCAAAACAGGGAGAAGATTCATTACTTAGAGCTAGCAGCTATCATTTTCTCATTAAAAATTTAGATACATTATCTCTATGGATAAACTTTTGAAATCTTCATAGATTATAAGAGTCTTAAATATATTTTTATACAAAAAAATTTAAATATGAGACAAAGAAGATGGTTGGACTTTCTAAAGAATTATGATTTTAATATCAACTACCATCCTGGGAAGGCTAATGTAGTTGATGATGCCTTAAGTAGAAATACTTTTAGTTTCGTAGCTTATATGAATATTCAAAGGAATTCAATGGTAACAGAGTTGGCAGACTTAAAACTTAAACTTTTATCGGAGACAAATAAAGATTTTCTTGCATGTCTGATGGCACGATCATTTAGTAGAAAACGTTAAAGAAAATCAGAAGGAAGATGCATATCTCTATATGATAGTTAAGGATATAACTTAAGGATCTAGACTCGAATTCCTCTAAACCGAAGATGATTCTAGTACATTCTATAATCGTCTTTGTAGTCCCGAAAGTCATACAATAAAGATACAATTATTGGAGGAGGCACACAGATCAAAATTTAATATCCATCCTGGGACTACTAAGATGTATCGAGATTTATACCAAAACTACTAGTGGCATGATATGAAGAGAGATATAGCAGAGTTTATTTCTAAATATCTGATATACCAGCAGGTGAAGGTAGAACATCGAGTACTTGTGAGAAAATTACAAAGGAATTCAATTCCTGAATGTACATAGGAGCTAGTCACTATTGATTTTGTGATAGGATTACCCAAGACTACGAAAGGCTATGACGGAATTTGTGTAGTATTAGATAGACTTATTAAATCTGTTCACTCCCTCCTTGTTAACAAGAAGTATTCATTGGATAAACTAGCAAGCTTATATATTAAGGAGATTATTTGATATCATGGAGTGCTAGTTAGCATTATCTCAGATAGAGATCCAAGGTTCACCTCTAAGTTTTAAGGAAGTTTACAAAAATCTTTGGGCATGCAGTTAAAGTTTAGTACAGCTTTTTACCCCTAAACTAATGGTCAATCTGAAAGGACAATACAAACTCTTGAAGTTCTCTTAAGAGCATGTGCTTTGGACCTTAGTAGGAGTTGGGATATTTACTTACACCTAATTAAGTTTTCGTACAATAGTAGTTATCACTCTAGTATATAAATGGCTCCATTTGAAGCTCTTTATGGAAGAAAGTGCATATCACTTGTCTATTGGGATGAGATAGGAGATTGGAAGCTTTTAGAACCTCAATTAATTCAAAAAGCTGCTTATAATATTCAAATTAAACGTCAAAGATTATTAACAGCTCAAAGTCATTAAAAAAGTTATGTAGATCGAAAGCAAAGAGATTTAGAGTTCGAAGTGGGTGAGCACGTCTTCTTAAAAGTGTCGCCAACTAAGGGAGTTATGAGGTTTGGACAAAGGAGGAAATTAGCCCAACATTTATTGTCTCATTTGAGATCTTACAAAAGGCCGAACCTATGGTATATAGATTAACATTGCCCCTAGCTTTGGCTAGTATCCATGATATATTCCATGTATCGGAGATATATCAGGGATCCATCACATATCATATCTTATCAACCTCTACAATTAAGAGATGATGTCACTTTTAGAGAACAATCAACCTAGATCTTGGAAAGGAAAGAACATGTTCTAAAGAATTAAATTATATATTTGGTAAAGATTTACTGGCAATACCATTCAGACTAAGAGGCAATGTGGGAAAGAGAAGAAGATATGCTAAATTTGGGGACCAAATTTCCTATAGGAGGAGAGAAATGTAATCAAATCAAATAGTTAAGTTAGGAATTAATCTTTTTCTTTACTTGTCATTATAATTTAGAAAATCTTAATCTATTTTCTTATTTTTATTATGAATTAAGAAATAACTATTAAGTATTCTAAATAGGGTGATATCATATTTGTTAGTATATTAAATAGAAATAATTCATATTAAATAAATATAAAAAAATTAAAATAAATTATCTTTAATAGAAGCTAATCTCCTCCTAAGAGGGAGGGATTTCTTTCATTCATTTCTCATTTCTCTCCTATTTAAAGGAGTTATACCAGACGAGAGATAGGTTTCCCTACCTTTCTTAAAAATAAAAGTTTTAATTTTTATTTTGATTATTTAAATATTAAAAATTTTATAGTTTGAAATTATTTATTAATTCTTTAAATGTCAAATTTTTTTATTATTGTATTAAAATCTATTAGCTGTAGTTTTTATAATGTTCTTTGACCCCTACTTATAATTTTTATTTTTAGATTTAAACATGTTAAAAATTTACATACTTTATGTGTTAAATATATAATATTTCTTAGTATTATAGTTTATCTTTAATTTTATTTAGATTAAAATTTTTGTTAGATTAAAATATGTTATCTAAAATTTTTGATATTCTTTGATTTAAAAATTAAAATATACTATTCTGAATAATTTAAAATTTATTTGACTAGAATATATTGAAATTATACATGTGTTGAAAGTATGATTTCTATTTAAATTTATAAGATTATTTTCTTGTTTTAAAGCTTATCTCTCAATCTATCTTTTAATATGTTATTATGTTTTTATTTATATAATTATTAATGAATATACGCTTTGGTATGAAATTGGATTGAAATTGCTTATAAGCTAGGCACAACCCATAGGTTGGTCACAACCCACTGGCCAGGCCCAACCTATAAGCCAGGCCCAACCTAGGGGTCAGGCCCTAGCCTGTAGGTTAACCCAGTTCAACCATCATGGGCGGTCACGTGCAATACACATGACTAGTCCATGGGCTAAGGCAGGGCTCGCTTGGTGTGATGTATGCCCAGTCATGTGTAATGTACATGACTAATATATGGGTTGGTCTAGTCTAGCCCAATATTATTATTGAATTTGAGCCAAATATTGATTGAACTAAACTAAGCTTGATTAGTCTAAATTGATTTTGGGTGATTCCGAATTGATTAACTTATTCAAGTTAGTTTAACCTAAATTAAACCTAATCTAGTCTAAATTATACTAGTTTAATATGGTTACAGACCAGTTAAATGAGGATTAGAGATCGGTTCTAGTAAATCGAGTTCAATTAAATCGATTAAACTAAGGTTCAAGTCAATTGAGTACTAATTTATATTATTTGATATTGATAATTTTTAAAAGAGATATTTTAAATATGTTATTTCATCCCGATATAAGTATGACCAGTATGAGATTATATTATTACCTTGCCAAGGGCAGGTAGGGCGATTCCCTTCGATCTGTTGTTGGGAGAGTACTCCTTCGGATATTTGATATACACTAATGGGATGATTGAATTTTAATCATGTATTCATTTTGAGTTGACTTTTGGGGTTTCTACTCAGCTGAATTTCTTTATTTTTTATTTTCAGAGTAACCTTCCTCTAGTATTAAATCGAATTCTGATATTTCTCTACCGACCACTTGGATGATTCTTGAAGTTAACATCACTATGTTTATTTTTTTACTTATAATTTGATGAATAAATAAATTATAATAAATATTTATAAATAATAAATAAAATGATGATTATCTACTTGGTTTTGGAAAGATATAAAATAAAAATTCAATATATGCTCTATTTAAAAATCACATAGACACATAATTTTACTGGTAGAGACACGTATGAAAGTGACACATGCATCAAGGAAGACTTTTTTATTTGATATTACTCCAACGATATGACGTAGATGTCAGTAATAGACGATGGCATCCTCATTCATCACCACATACACAGAGATGGATAGTAAGCACCCTCCACGAGGGTTTGCTAAGCCGGCATCATGTAGACTCCAAATACAGTGAGATGCTCAGTAGTTGCATATCCAAAGAAGCCTTTGATGTCGTCATATTCTACGTTTACTTCGAAAAAGGTTCCACCCCCACCTCCATATGGACCATGTGTCCTTCCAAGATTGGTGCCAAACATGAGTTGAGATATGCAAGGAAGGTCCGAACAGATGTGTCTGACGTACCCAGAAACGGAGGTGAGGTATTCATCTTGCATGAGAGTAATCTGCAAGGCAATTAGAACAATGATACACTTAGCTATAGTGTATCTGTTAGCAGGTGGCAGCCTAATTAGAAAGTACATCGATTGATGTTGGAGAGGCATGCCTGGAATAGTTCACCGTCGGAGCCTCCATATCTGGGAGTTACGCCAGTGGTGCCGTCTATCTCGAAGGTTATCTTAATGGAGTTTACGCATGAAGCGGCGCCAACGCTAATGCCTGTGATTTTGTCAGCAGGTTCCATGCCCCAACGAGACTCGCTATCGCATGGACAGTTGCGGAAACCCCATCCTCGAGCTTGCGCCGCCGTCTTGATCACGTTTGAAGCCTGCACCACCATGCATCCATCACAAACCAAATAGAGTAGAATAGAAACTGCAATGTGTACTACTTAGGCTTCCCTGCAAAGGAAGCAAACCAAATATACGTAGCTCTCTCTCGCTCTCACCATTCTGAAGCGAGCTCCTCTCGCACCGGATGATATGCACACACTGGGACGAGAGCGAGTGGGAGTGTTTATAGGATCAAGGTGAGGTTGTTCAACGTCGATCGAAGGTGAAATGATCGAGACTTCTAATTCAGACTAAAGCTGGTAGTCAATATTTAATTTAGACCGAGTGGATATTGGATGGCCACATTACTCTTATTCATGTGTGGATGACATCTTAATCTAAAATTAATATGACTTCAAAGTCCAGCTCCATCCCAAGTCATTATTTAAAACTTCATGGTCATTCTTCATGCGTGCACGCTGCAATCCATCCTTCCATGCATGAATCCATGCATGCATCGATTATCCTCTCTATGCGATCAACATGGGACATTGAATGCATCCAGATTTGAATCCATTACCGATAAATCGGATGGGCATATATGTATCCCATATCACAAAATAATATTGTAGTCTGGCTTTTATGTCAAGCAATTAAATGCAGTCTCTTTCTGTGATCAGTTAATGGAGAATTAAGTTTGGTGTAAACCTAATGTGTACGTTAATAGAATTAGTTGGGCAACCTTAACCTTAGAGAATGAAGAGGGGTAGCATTTAAAATAGAATTAATTAGCACACTTTTTTTAGCTTGAAAACGGAGAAAACCATGCCACTAGGAAAGTTTCTTCATAACCTTCTGGATAGTCGCCATGCATATGCAAGAGAATACGCTGTGGGCTGTGCAAAAGTGACTAAATACTTAATAGAATTTGCTCTCTTGCCTTCAGATTAGGTAGCAAATATCCCGTCTTAGATCATTAGACACATGTGGGGAAAATTAAATCTGTTTTTAATATTAGTTAAGGACTCAAGTATATTTAAAATTCTTCGTGATATTGGAGTTCAATTTAAAGTCTTAGTTGTTCAGCATATATATATATATATAGAGAGAGAGAGAGAGAGAGATATGCATGGTTCCGAGGAATGTTAGTTTCTTTTTTTTAATTAGAGTTTTCATTGTAAAAATAAAAATCCTGACTATACTACTGTTCTACAAAAAATTTCAATGTCAAAAATTAAAATTAAATAATGATAGATCAAATATACCATACATACTTTTTAATGTCATGTAAAGTTGTTAACTGATTTGTAGGTGCATCATCGTTGAATCTGAAGAATAGGATGATGTCAATTTATAAGAAAAACTAGATCATCTTCTCCTTTCTTCTCATCTTTCATAAGATCGTTATAAACAATGAATTATGAATAAAATAAAGATGAGAGAAAATCTATAATCTTTCAATGGTTGATTCACGTGATTAAAAATAGATAAGAGAAAATATATAATATTTTAATAATATCAAGTCCTTAGAAATGTAGATCATAGAGACATATAGATCTTGAAGACATTTCGCTGATGGTGTTTGCGTGATCGAATTGAATCGGAGATGACTCCCAGGGGTATTTTGCTTTTTCTTATTTTTATTAAAGGACCGGTAAGAATAATATTCTAATGTTCCATAACAAAATGTTCATTATGCATTTAATTAAAAGACCATCGGGCTCGGGTCATATTCAATTGTAAGACCAACAAAACTATGAGTTTAATCTTCCGAGCCAAGCTGAAATTTGACTGTGCAGATGATCAGTCCACATTAATATCTCACATCAGTCCACTTTGTTTCTCCTTTTTTTGTTTTGGTACTTAGAATTACTAATAACTAAATATATCACCCTTATTTTTATACGAACATGACAGTAAAAAAATTTAAATTTTGGCCAGATAACACCATGGAAACAAAAAAATCAATAATAACAATAATAATTATGCTCCATGGTCCTTTAAATCTGACTTGAGAGCCTATCTAAAGTCAATATTTGAAATTTCATGAAAGGCTATCCAAAATCATTATTTAAATCTGATGTGAAATTTCATCATGAATAATAACAATCAAGTGGACTCGGAGGGAGTGGCACAAAATCGCAATACTAGATCTACCTAAGAATTAGTATGTTAAAAGGATTTGTTGAGTTATTAGAGCTTTAGTTGAGTTATTGAAGGTTCCATTGTCATGTTAAGGGATTGTTGATGCACGTCCATGACCCTCTTAGATTATGGTTATCCATGTTTCTTTGATGATTTTTTGAGATACAAATTGTACAAGCTGTGAAGTGTCTTGTTTGGTTGGTTGGGAGCATAGGGGTCAAAACAATCTATTTGCTCTATTATGGCACATATTTGCAGATATTGGATCATATAAGTTAGTGAAGCACAAGAATTTCCCTCATGTTTACAATAGGGTGACTTAGAAGTTGGCATGTAGAGTTAGACTTATTATTATCGGATGGGCCTACGATGTGTTCAAAAGTCAAAAATGTTATCAATGAGACGCATCATATTATTAGTAGTGACAGAAGATAGACTTTATTTCACACTACTCAAACACACACCCAACTCAAACATAGATGCCAGTAACAGACATTGGCATCCTTATTCATCATGGCACACAAGGGTTGGCTAAGCCAGCATCACGTAGACTCCAAATGCAGTGAGATACTCTTCAGTTGCATGACCAAAGAAGCCCTTAATCTCGTCATATTCTACATTGACTTCGAAAAAGGTTCCACCCCCACCTCCATATGGACCGTATGTCTTTCCAAGATTGGTGGTAAACGTGAGCTGAGAGACACATGGAAATTCAGAACAGTCGTATTTGACATACCCAGAAACGGAGGTGAGGTATTCATCTTGCATGAGAGTAAACTGCAAGGCAATTAGAGCAATGATACATTT